GTCCTCAGAAAAACACCACACAAAAGTGTCAGTGCTGCCAGCTAAACACACACACCAAAAAAAATATTGGAGTAGCCCAAGATATAGCCAAAGATTGCAGCGCCACAGCACTAGTGAAAATTTAAATTTGCCAACTGGAATTCTTTCAGATAACTGACGTTTCGGATAACTGACTTTCGAATAAATGACGCTCTACTGTATATTTTGTGTGTCATTTTCTAAAACTGCCTGTGGAGTATATTTGTAGTATTGTAACTGGGTGTTTAATAATCTGTGTTTGTATGCAAGTTCTTGATGTACAGAGTGGGGCATAATGGAGTCCCACATTTACGAAGCGAATTAAAAAAAACTGTACAATAATATGGAAAAAACTTTTTATTTAATCAAAGTACAGTACATGTAAGAAAGTTAATTTTGGTTAGGTTTTAAAAATGATGTCATCCAAATGTTGGCTGTCATGGACAATGCACATTTGGAGCCGTTCCTTGAAGTTTTCTTCAACTCTTACCAGCATATCTGGAGGAATTTTGACGATTTCCTCATAAAGTGCTTATCCTTAAGTTTTTGTAGGAGTTGAGGGCAATGTTTAAAAACCTCTGCCTTGAGATATCCCCATAAGAAAAAGTCACAGGGGCTCAAATCAGGGGAGCGAGGGGGGCATTCAACGGCTTCTCGTAAAGAGATTAGTCAACCGGAAATCATCCGGGGGCATGTTTCCAAGCAGAACATGTTGGAGACTGCTCTGTTGATGCTCTGAGTGTGATGATGTTTGCAGGTGTCCTCATGGATTTGGGATGCCCAAGTGGCTTTTTAGGATTTGCAGATCCTGTTGCCCTTAAACTTTGGACCCATTTCAAAATCATTCTCTGATCAGGAGCACTTTCCTTTGCACTTAAACGAAATTGAGTGCGAAATGCCCTCTGTGTTGCAGTCACAGAGTCAGCGTTTTTGAAAAAAGCCTTTGCGATGAATTCCCGTTGTTCACCTGACCACAGCATGTTTGCTACTGATAACTTTCTTGTTCATACCACCTAGCGGGACATCATCATTTTAAAACTTAACCAAAAAAAAAAAAAAAAAAAACCTTTAATTCACCTGGTAAATGTGGGACTCCATTATGTCTCACCCTGTATTATATTTGCTAATTGATTATGCCTATGTAAATAGTCTTTTTGTGCTAAGAGCTTGCAACCAGAAGTTATATGTTGTATTGTTTCTGGCAACATGTGGCATTTTCTGAAAGAGTCATTTGTTAGTGATGTATCCTTCAGGATGTATTTTCTATAATTTTTAGTGTTTATAACCTGATATTGAATGGCAACCACAAATCCCTTGGTCTCTCCAAACAGATAGTCCCTAATCAACCAATACAGTAGAGCATCGATTATCCGACCCCCGGTTAACCGACTGTTCTAGTCGGCAAATTTCAAATATCTGTTAGTGATGTGGCGCTACAATATTTGGCTATGTCTTGGCTACTTTAATATTATTTTTGTTAAATTTTTGCGTGTTTTAGCTGGCAACACTGGCTCGACCATGAAAGGGAGGCCAGTATTTAAACGAGACTTAATTTTCTAATTATGAGTGGTTGTTTGTTTTGTGAGCAATAAAATAATTTAAAAATAATTTTTAACGATACAATAGCGACGATTATTATTTTAAAAAAAAATTTTGTTAGGCTTAACACCGATGAAAATTCAATGCGAAGTAGGTTAATAGCGATATACTAATATACTATACTAATAATGTATTTTTTTCATTCTTTTTGGTTATCCGATTTTTTCAGTTATCCAATCAATCCGAGTCCCCAATTGAGACAGATAATCGATGCTCTACTGTAGTTTGATGCAGTTTTGTCAACATAGTCCTGATCTAAGTCATAGGCATGGCTGCCATGAAGTGCTTTTTGGTGTCTATGTTATTTATGTGTTGAGCCAAGTCCAGGTACTCAGAGTGTAAGTTCAAAGGTATGTGTTACTGCCTGCCAGAGTTATAGCTTTATGTAACCTTGTTGTTTCTTGTGGAAAAACTCCCGCAGTATCTGAATTTCTTTGTAGTGAAGGTTAACTATTTAATAAGGCCATAGCTACCTTCTTTACAAGGAAGAGTTAGTCTTTCTATGGATGATTTTGGGTGATATTGTTTATGCTTAGTAAATGTTGTTCTTGTTTTCCTTTGGAGTTGTTTGAGATCAGTGCATGTCCAGTGTATAACTCCAAAAGAATAAATGAATACAGGGACAACATAGATATTAATAGCTTTATGTGAGGCTGGGACCTTGTTGACCAACGGGAATATGGCTGTCAAACCAGCACCAATAATTCAGTGACTTATCTCACAAATAGGGCCAGAGTGCCGAGGAACGGGGTGAGAGACAATTTAATTGTTGCATTCCAGACCTAATTGACAGATCCCCGATTGTTCATCATGGAAAGCAGAGAGGGATCAACCGCTGGGGAAAATTTTGACGATCACATTACATAGAGTTCAAAGCAGCTGCAGCTGCATCTTCTCCGAGTGAGAAAATACACATTAGATCAAAATTTATGGGACTATCATTTCTCCCCATAGACCAGGGGTAGCCAACAGTTTTTGCCCCTGGGCCAAACTGGAAAGAAAACTTTTTTCACGGGCCGAACCAGAGGCTGCCCTAGGAGGATTTTGTGGTGGTGCAAGATCTCAATGTAGTGTCACCATGTAGAGACTATATTGTACATAGAGATTACAGATACATTTTTCACATTAACATGCTTTATCAACGTTCCACGCTGTACTTAAGAGATTTGTAATGGAGGGTTAACTCTAACCAGACAGCGAGTTGTTGACCTTTTTTTTTTTTTTATTTATTTTTAGGCATTAGAATTTTTCACCAATCTATTCTGACTTGAGTAGCTAATATTGAAAGATTAATTGCGGGCCACATAAATCCATTACACGGGCCGTATGTTGGCCATGCCTGCTATAGACCTTACTGGCATGGGTGTATCAATGATCCATAGAACAATGCTGGCTTGTGCTCCAGCCAACATTGTTCTATGGATCAGTAAAATTATTGGGCTCTCCCACCATGATCAGATGGTGACCATGGGAAAGATTTTGTTTTTGTTGTTGTTATTGTTGTGTTTAGTGGGTTTTACTCGGTTCACATCGGTGGCTGTGTACTATGCTGGACCAGAGTCAAGGCATAGCAACCAAAACAAAACTGAAATTAAATAAGTGTGTCAGTGTCTGTATTCAGGAATTTCCTAACAATGTGGCATGTATTCAATATAGTGGCCTTCTGTAGTGTTATGTATGTATTTCTACTCAATTCTAATGTTCCCAGGCTTTTGTGTAGTGTGTGTGGTATCACACCTGTACAGGA